AAAGATATAAAGAGGTTAAGTGTGCCAAACACATGTTCTAGAAACAATGCTTGCAATATTAAAATAAAGAGGAAGCTGATGTTTTTAAACTACTATCACTTGTGGCAACATTTTCATGTTCCAACACATATGGCCAAGGTCAGGCCCCAATCTCTGTATTTTCAAAGAAACATGCCTGCCCAAACAGAAACAGCTGCTTCAAGTAAATTAGATTTCTCTACCCTTTAGGTCAAAACACCAAGGGTTTCAAGGTCAAAACCCACCTGAGAAGTCTGGAGAAAAGCCACAAAGTTACCCTATGTTTGTTTTAATACATGTTTTATACTAACACAAGTCCATTACACACATGCATTAAAACAACATTCAGGAGTTTTACAAAGCTGTGTTGGACGTTTAAAGGCACAAGCCCATACATTTTATAAAATTTGAGAACAAACGTTATTTTTGCTAGTTTTATGTTAGAGGACAAACACGAATTAAAAATGGTTTTAAGATTACATTTTGCATCCTCCACCTTAACCACTACAGCTATAGAAAGACCTTAAAAGAATGAGTGGATTAAGTTAAACATAAATAAACATAAAATGATGCACTTAGGAAGAAACAATCCTAACCCAACACACAGAAAAACCCCAGGGTCTGAGGTTAATATGGCATGACATGCAGGAGTAAGACCTTATGATAAACAGTTCTGTGAGAATGGCAGTTTAATGCCTGACAGTTCTCAAAAATGCAGATCAGATGTTAAGTGTTAGTAGAAAAGGATGAAAGAATTAAACTGGGAACATTATTATGCCACTACATAAACCTCTGGTTTAGCCCCATCTTGTACTCCGAGTACAAAAAAAGGCTGGAGAAGCCAGGTCAAAAACCAAGGAGTAATTCTTCATGCCAAGGGCCACAGTCTCCTTGCTGACCAATGCTGTGGATACAATATCTTTACATGGGTTCAAGGGAAACTGGAAAAAAATATGAAATAAAAATCCATCAGATATGGAAGCACTGCCACTGAAGGTCCAAAGCCACAGCCCACTCAAAGTCCCCTGAGCTAAAGGCAACTGGAGAAAAGAGAGAAGTATCAGCATATGCTTACCCGTTCTTCTTTAGATATATGTATACATGCATTAATACATCTGTTCATGGCTGGTGACAGCATGCTGTGCAAATGGACCTTTGATATGCTCTAGAATGGCCATTCTTCTATCCTCAGTCATTCTGAGCAATTTAAAATGAATGTATACAATGCCAATTGCA